CAATTCTAAATAGGTCAACTAATAAAAAAATAATTAACAATTAGGGTTATAGCTGAAATAAGTCAATGCAATATCCGACCTTTCCCCGAATCGTTAAGTAAAACCAGAGGAAGAGGGGGAGTGAGGAAAAACAAATTTAATAATTTGGACACTAGCAATTAGTACCCAAATTAAGGTATGGTGTAAATCTATTTTACCAACTAAGGAAAAAACAACTTAACATATCGATACAGTTACATAGTTTTTTTCTTTTACAATTTTTTTGGAGATATACTTTTACAATTAAATTGGAGAGATATGGATGGATGACGGACGGAATATTTCAAGTTTCTTAATACTATTCCTACCCACTAATCAACAATCAGTTCTAAATTCAAGCGACGGATTAATTAGCAATGGATCATCCTGGAGCTGACATAAGAATATTTAATCTACTTTTTTCGAAGATCTGTCTTATTCATAAACCCAGACAAGCTTTCAGTGTACCAGTACCATGTTCATCTCTACTATTACAACATTGATCCTGCGCAGGATTTATGGACCTTCATGTGAGAGAGCAATCTGGAGTGCGAGGTACAACCGGAAGCTAACAGCTCTATACGCAGAGAGAGGCTGCCAGAGGGAAGGATACTAAAGTGCTGTATGGACAACCTGGAGGAAAAAGAAGGATAGGCAGGATGGTCTCCGGTGTATAGATGAGGTGGATCCGAGACTTGGTGTCAGGCGGTCAGGCGGTGGAGAGCTGTCGCAGTAGATGAAAAAATCGTGAAGGAAGCCTATGTCCCACGCGGACTGTAGCGTCGAAGAAGAAGAAGAATTACAACACCATTAACAATCGATACCTGTAAAATACTGTCTTACTGTATTTTTTTCTTTATTTTCGTTTAACCTCTACCATACGTTTCTGGAATACGGAAGAGTAGGAAGAAGGATACGTTGTTCTACTCGATGTACTACGGAACCTATTCTGTGCGGAGTCTGAACCCATTTTTTCACAAATCATTAACGATAGTACTTAAATAAGTTTATCTAACCACCAAACCAAGGAGTTTTTCTGTGTTTCTTTTAAGTACAACTCGTTCATGATAGATCTTGACGGACGTTATATCACACATAATATTGGCACATTCTTTCAGGTGTTAATCCGCTAAGAATATTGAATGATTCACATTTTTATGCATGTCATTACATCCATTTAGCCTTCACATTCCTACGTGAATGTTTTAATGATGTACTAAGGTCTAAACTCGTAATAGACAATTCTTACGTATACATCAAGAGCCGCAGTACAAATGTCTACAAGTACAATTTTATTAGAAAGTGCGGTTGTATCATTTCTTCAATCTAGACTTTAGGCAAATTCCGAAATACAAACAAAAAACGTCAATAAAAAAATAGAGCGCTATCTTTTAGCGGATTGTATCCGACCCTCCCTCGATCGCCTCCAATCTGACCTGCGAAAGGTTTTTTGATTACAAGGTAAATTTAAAAAATAGAATATAGAAAACTACACAGGCTAACATAAGATTGCTTCTACAACTTTTATTGCTTGAGTTGTTTCACTTAGAGAGTTTATTTCACAACTGAATTGTCATTTACAGAATAATATTTATTTTTATCGAAAGCCGTGGCCTGTGGAAATGGTGGACGTCTCAGCAAAAAAAAGTTTGGAGACTATTGTTGTAGATTATAAGAGTCGAATCGTAAAGTAACTGTTAACAATATATAAAATAAAAATAAACATTGAAAGTTGGGACGAATATCTTAGCTACCTTCATCTACTTAGCTATCTTTTTTCCCTACTATTTCTACTGGTGACATTTGTATTACTCTGGCCCATAATCAGTCAAAGTAGAGAAAAATTAAACAGGAGAAACGTAGGTGACATGTTTTCAAAGGATTCACGAAATATTTTGAACTGTTTAAGTATAATACATCATATACAAAAGACTAAAGTTCCAAAAAAAAAAGATTATTTGATGCATTGGTCGAATCCGAACGGAAAAAGAGGCAGACCAATTTTGTGTGGTCACATTTTTTAATGAATAAGAAAGAATTGCTCAAACATAGTTCAAGATAATAAAACATTAAGTACACGATCGCAAAGTAGACAAAATGATTTAAGAGAACAGTGATTAAATCCTTTTCAAAACACCTGGAGGAAGCCTCCTTCCGCTGTACATAAATATCTGTGTAGGAGCTGATATTGCCCGAAATCGGTCTGGGTCTCGCAATTTGCAAGACCGAGACCGAAGTCGACCTAACTGTTGCAAGACCAAGATCAAGAATGATAAAAAAAAATCGTTTTGCGAATAAAAATTAAGGCAAAATGGTTACTAATTGGTATAAACAAAATACTTTTGCATTAAACTCTTCCAATTTTTCTTTCAGGCTTACTTAGGTCCTCCCTACCTGAAAAGTTACAGTAATATCTCTAAAGTAATAAGCTAATATGTAACTTCATCTCTAAAGTAATAAGCTAATATGTAACTTCAAACTGCAAGATTGTAACGAGACTCTTGCGCAAGAGCAATACCAAGATCATGATTGCGCAAGACCGAGACTCGTATTGGTCTCGCATTTGGGTAACACTAGTAGGAGCATATCTCAGTTAACAATTAAGATATGTTCCAACACAGATATATCTGTGCTCGTAGAGCGGCCTTATTAGACCTCCTGGAAGTCCCTTTTATCATTGACCTTAGTAAATTTAATCACTGTTTTCTCAAAAGAGATTTTGTTTGCTTTACAATGTTTTAATTAATAATTTTATTATTTTGAACAGTTATTGACGAAGTCCTTCTTATTCAATAGAAAACGTGACCACACGAAATTGGTCACAACTCTTTTTCCGTTCGAAATCGGATCATGCATCAAATGAACTTTTTTGTTGGAAATCTTGTCTAGGATCAGCTCCCCTCCCCCTCCTTCTCCTCCTCAAGAGTATGGTCATTAAGAATTCATACTCTGGATAGTGTATGAAACTCCAGCACAGATGATGATGTAAGGTGACTTCTAGGTTTTTGACAGAGTTATCAAATGGATTTGCAATGTTGTTGGAAAGAACGTAAAGAATAATAAGGAAGAGAATGAAAGAGCGGCTTAAAAACTGATTAAGATAAATTAGTGAAATTTCCAATGAATGTTTATATAGTATCGTTTATCTTTAGTCAATTCGATCTTACGTTTTCTTTAAAAGCTAGTAAAATGTATTCAACTGAAAAATATATCAGCTGATGTTTGTTACATTTATTTTTTGTTATCCTAATAATAAACAGAGTAATATAACCATTGCAGAATGCCAAAGGAGCATACATTATTATTTTTTTTAATGTAAGACCCTAATTATAATGTATTTTATAAATAAATAAAACCTGCCCTACAACATTACTTTAAAAATTGTCAACATTTTTGGTAATAAAAAAACATTAACATAATTTCGCTAATAATAATCTCCACTGGCTTTAGCACGGTTGAGAGAGTAGCGCAGAGTATTATTGGAGTATTTCTTTTCCTTCTATAATTGAAAAGACAAGTCTGGTTGTATATAGGTATAACTGTGTTTTTATTGTATATACTTTTGATTATTATTTAGTAGTTATTTTATGTTTTATGTATATATGGTGTGAATTCGTTCATATCTCACTTTAATTATTGGTCGTATGACATATTGTTATATTTCTGAATAAATAAATTTAAAAAAAATAATTTTATAAATACGAGATGTGGTAATTAAATAACGAAACTGGTGGAAAACATTATATTTTCATTTCAGATATATATATATATATCACATTCGATAAGCATCCCTCCTCTATCACAATAAAGCTCCATGTAATTCTTCCATTGTCTGAAACAGTGCTGAAAGTCTTCTTCAGTCAAATCCTTCATCAATTATGTCACTTTCTCTTTTGGAAGAACGTGAATGTAGTAAGGTTTATTAATAGTTTGACCTTCAGTAACATAGAGAAAGTTCACAATCCCATGAATATCTAAAAAAAAAAAACATTCGAATTTTAATTTGCTCATTCGAATATTTTTGGCTTTCGGTGAAGGTGGGGGTTGTTTCCAGTGGATCGATTGGTGCTTCAAGATTGGTGCGTGATTCTACTTATATTCTCTATCATTTTTTACTCGATGAGACGACCTCTAACGTTCAATAAACAACAATGAAGAGGTAAACGGTTAGAAAATTTCAGCCTTGAATAAGAAGGTCGTGGAATAACTTGAAATTCTGTTGCAAATAAAGATCTGCTGACACTGAGAAAATAAATTCTTCAATATGTTTCAGAACCATTGAAGCTCTAGATGGTAAATCAAATACTGCTAAAACATACGATAATTCTAGCAAAGAACAAGTTGCTTTTATAGAGCTAAGTTCCCTGGCTCAGGAGAACAGATAGAAAGAAATACAGGAGAAAATGCAGTCCGATTACGAGATGACGAAAATTCATGTGTAACACAGCCTCAAGACTAAAATAATATTAATAAATACGTTTTAGTAAAAAAATATTCTAATTATATGAATATTTAAATACATAACAACTTTACCTTCCAACACAATTTCAGAATACAATCGAATACGCAGGTACATAACCTCGTCCATTTAACCGTAGCTGTTATATTCTTGATTCTAAAACATATTTATTTGCAGCATTTTATTGTAAAATTCTAAATTTTAAAAAATAATAATTAAGATAACCGATTGCATAACTATCTAATTACATGTAAAGATTATGAAACAAGCTGCTTGTCAGGACACGCAAACACAGCACATTATAATTACCATCCATGCATGATTATTGTTACAATAACGTGTAATGAATAACACAAAATAAAATTGTAAATAATTAAAGCATATCAAGGGCTTACATCTTTTAATTTACTCTTTTTATATTAATATTCTAAAAATCTCTCGGATTGAGAGCAAGAATACATAGGCAAATAATCACATTTTTTCTCATAATATTTGCTTAAAATATTGATTTTGATAACAATTATTAAAGTAACCAACGATATCTTATCAACAAGTTATCTCCATGGCCGACAAACACTTCAGACGGATGCGGCAGATTCGACCTGAATACATAACTGTACATAAAAACGAAATATCATACTGTTATATAACATGTATTTTTTATTTTATTTAAGGTCACCAATTTTATAAAAATCTTAAAATTCATTATTTTTTATATTTATAGAAACGGTATTTGAGGGAAGAATTGCACACAGCATCGATGGATGCAGTATGCCAACATGGAGTAAGGACTAAGACTGCCTCCAGATAAATGAAAAAACATATTTGGACTCAATATTAAGGGGGAGCTAAATCAGGTGGTTTGATCATCTTGGACGTATACCCAGAGAATCCATCCATAAACTCTAGTGACGAAGAACATGCTGGCGATTTGTTTTGGCCTGAACTAGAAATGGAGAAACCACATAAGGGACGTTCAGGTTCTTAGGGAACCGTAATATATATGTTAAGCATTATGAATATATTTGTGCATGAACCTTTCTTGAATCATTCAGTCGATAAATTAATTACTAAAAAGTAATATTAGATTTTATCGCATAGAAGTTGAATAACGGAGGTATTTAATAAGGAAAACGGAACGAAAATAATTAAATCCACTGAAATTGTTCATATAAAAAAGTTATATAACATACATTGTCAGTTTTCTCATAGGTATCTTATGTAAGGAATAGTAACTCAAACATGAATCCAACACCAAATTATCAAACCAATAAATTCACGTATTCTGGAGAATGTGGTGGTACTTCCACTGAAGGCAAATTTTGAAGATAGGAACAATCATTTAAGAAAAATAGAGTCTTTTAGAGGGTCGAGGCGAAAAGAACAAATAAATGAGCAACAATCTAAAATTAAGTTTATTATTTTTATTTTATTTTTTTTAATAGCAGTAAATAAAATCATATTTTGTTACTTTGAATTGTTTACACACATTACGATTATGCTAATTGATTAATAAGACTACAGGAACTATATTTTTCATTTATGTGTATCCTGGTAATAAGTAAGGAACGTAACTAAAAATTGAAAAAAAAACATATCTTAGTATAATAAAATTAGTAACTGAAATATGAATGATTTTAGCATAAATAATTATTAAAATATAATGAGATCATTAGTGTTGCCCAAAATCTGTCTTGGTTTAGGAAATTGGCGCAAAACTGTTGCAAGACCAAGACCAAGACTAGTAAAAAAATAGGAAAAATAAAAAATAGTTACTAACACTTGTCAATTTTAGTTATTAAATATAAAGAGTTGGTATAACCAATATACTTTTACATTTACTCTTCTGATTTTTCATTCGGGCTTAGTTAGGTTTCTCCTATCTAAAAAATTACAGTAATATCTCTATAGCTAATAGGCAACTGCAAGACTGTTGAGAGACGCTTGCGCACATCCAAGACCAAGACTAGATATCAGTAATATTTACAACTAATGAATTGATATTAACTAAGATAGGCACTAAAAAATCCTGCTAAACATTTTAATCAGATGTATCTATAAGCAGATGGGTCAAGGTGTGAGAAAAAACCAAACAAGGTTTCTTCTTTTCCGTTGCTGATACTCGAAGAACATCATACTGTCACGTAAAAATTCAACAAAACGTTTAAGATACAATAAAACAGGATTGTAAAGTAACAATTCATTGACCATTGACAAATATCATCGATAAAACAAAATTAAATACGCAGTTAATTTGAAAAATAATACCAAGCGAAGGGAGAGGGATTGCTTGCAAATGCATTATTTATACAAAAGCTGACCACGGAGTTCATTTTATTTTTTCAATATAATAAAATATTTAATACAGCAACATTGGCGTTTCTTACAATGTATTCATAAAAGAGGTAAAAAAAGGTATTAAAAATATAATTTACTATTCACACTATTCTAAGAACAAAGTTATGAGACTGAAGAAGAAAATTTCACTTACTTTAAAAATCACTCCTGACATTAGGAGCTCTCCACTAAAACCTTGAGGCCCCTCGAGTCGCAGAATCTTCTGAGAGTAAGTGGTTCTTAAACACATGAGGATTGGACAATTAAGATCGACCCACCTCCATTTCATCACTAAAGACGTACCACCGAGACACCGACATAGTAAAACTATGTCATCATTGTAAAACCACATCATTTAATGCTGGTGTTTTACAAAATTTAATTAGATGAATCAGGGGTCCCGCTAAACATTTCATTAGCCTTAAAAAACTATAATAGTAGAGTGGAAAAAATAATATATTTTCTATTTAAACCAGTATAAATTCAATGATAGAGATATGATGATATTTATCCTACTTTATTTATTATTTATAATATTTTCTTATTCCCAACCCAGCCAGCTACACCTTCAGCAAGGTATTATTTTATACATTAATACATACCCCTTGGTCTAATATTTTCATTTATTGAAAAAGAATGATCAATAAACCATTTTATGGATATACACCAACATCTAAACAACCAACCAACACCTGACACTTTCCTTTGTAAAAATGGTTCTTCAATGTCTTCATCTCATATAACTTTCTCAATATGTTTCTTCTTTTACTCTTCCTCAAATGTTCATAACCCATGATCATAGATATAATCATCATGTGATACTATAGTATGGATCTTCTTCTCAACCAACAACTTTTAATTCTTACAAAGGAAGAAGATGGTCCGGGGTTGCGGTCATAAATAGGCTAAATAGTTTTGCCACTATTTAGCCTATTTATGACCGTAACCCCGGACCATCTTCTTCCTTTATAATGCAACGGTCAACTATTAAATATTCAATTTTAATTATTAAGTTAGAGTTATTAAATCACTATAAATCAGAACCGAAAATCCACTCTACATCCAAGAACACCTTAGTTCAGGTTCCTCTGCCCACTCTCTTAATACCAGATCTCTATACATCCATCCCTATACACACATCTCTACGTTAAGATCTATACATCTCCTCTCATTACAACAATTCTTTCAGTAAATCCTTCGTCATTCCTCCTACCTGCTTCTGGGACTCCTTACCAATACCTGAGACTCCATACGTCAAACCACGTCCTAAATAAATTCCTTCAAACAACTCCTATACCACCACCTACTACAAATTCAAAATTCCGCAAGCTTGTAAGAATTTTCAGGTTATGTAATTACATTGCTCACCGGCAGATAATTAATAAAATCCATTTTATTTTTTCTCTCTCGGTGCGTATTTGAATTTGTTTAAGTATTTTTGGTACGTATTTAGATTTTCATTAGTTTTTTTTGTTGTGTGTGTGTTAGAAAGTATTTTCCTTAGTATTTTTAGCATAAATTTATATTATATCTACACCTAGACTCATGTCCATATTTTTTAACTCTGCTATTATAGTAAGAAGACTCCAGTAAATGAATAAAATTATATTTCATTTCATATAAAGCTTGGCCTACCCAACTCCTCATCGATTAAATAACCGCTTGATTTGTATTTGTTTCATTCCGCGGATACATAAGAAAAGTGACCAACCTATTATATATACATATATCTATATAAAGCAAAGTTAGCCTCCTCGTGCTAATATAGATCAGGAGGATTTCCTTTAAACATTTTTAAATTTTGTTTATTATTCATAAAATTTACAACTATATAAAAAACGTAAGAGTTAATGGAGTTATATGGTGGACCAGCCATCCTCAGTGTTATTAAGACTCAGATGGCTGGGTCATGTTGAAAGGATGGATCTCAGTAGACTTCCAAAAATGATGCTGAATGGTACTCCAGGAGGAAAAAGACAAAGAGGTAGACCAAGACACCGATGGTTGGATGATCTGGAAGACTTGAAGAGGCTGGGGATCAGAACCGTGAGGAGTGGAGGAGAGTGGTGCCAGAGACCGAGGTTCTACAAGGACTATAGCGCCCGTTGAAGAAGAATAAAAATAAATATACATCCAGTAAATGTGATACAAAGAGATACATTGGCGTGAAAAGACTTATAGAGAATCTACTCGAAGGTAGCACTTTAATAAAGTATCTTAATAGGATACAACGAGGCCACCTTCTCAGACGCCTCGGGGAGGTTAGGTTACTAGGGGTCGAAGGGGAAACGAGGAAGATTAGAAACGAGAGGATTAGGATGGTTCTGAAGTTTATTATGGATGGATAGATATCCGCGTTAGGCCAAACAGGAAATATATGGAACAATGAGATCGTTATTAGTCATTTTATTTTTAACAAAGTGAGGAGCATTGGGGTTTTTACGAAGGATTTTGGATTTTAAGAATTGGATGCGAGAGGTTTAGAGGAGCGCTAAAGCTCAACTCCATATGTCAAAAAAAGCCTAATGATATTCATATGAGTCTTTTGTAATTAATTTTGTACTTAGAGCGATCGCCTAGTAAGCTCTGAAGTAGTATTTTTAAAAATAATTTAAAATTAAGTGATGATCTACTTCGGTAATAATTATTAGAAAGCAAATCAATGAAAGGACCAGTCTTGCAGGTAATAGTGTTGTTGCAATCCAAAATAACTATTGAATGTTATTTACATCCTTCTCACATCTACTTCAGCGTAATTATTGCATATAACTTGTGAACTTGAGTAAGCGCATATTATTAAATGTTGAACACACTTTAAGAATCCCTTGTATGTCATGGGACAAGAAGGATACAACAACGCATCTATATCGTTGACTTAAACTGACAGAAAGCTATCTCTCCGTTTTCAAAATATCCGAGTCTCTAGCTTACAGCAAAATTGAAACGAATAAAATAATTGCGTTCCACGCCATCAGTTAGAATATTCCAGCTCATCAAGTTTCCTTACATTGTTCTTTAAGATCAATACTTTCCTAAGCAGGGTTAAAAAAAACATGAATAAGTTGGTTTGGTATGCAATAAACGGAGTTTAAGTTATACAGTTAATTGCTTCTCAAAATGTCATAATGTTGAAAAATTCTTGATAATGAATCGTATAAAAACAATGATATTAAAACTGGTGGAGAACTGCATTGTCCAATATTAAACCTGTAGAAAACTTGAAAAGAGGTAGAGGAATTCCGTTTTTTAATAACATTAACGTATTCCCCGGAAATAATTTGTAATAAAATGTTTCTTTATCAAAATATTTTATCATTTAAAATAATAATCATTTTAAATATGACTGAAGCATAAATGGTATAGGCTCTTAACATGTACAGCCTTATTTTTAAAAAATTGCAGCTTCTAAATGTGAACGCCAGACTGTCGTAAAACGGCAAATTGAAATGCACTGAAATAAATCAATATTAAATTTATTTACTTTCC